TGGATGCTGGAGGCCCATACATAAAACATTAGTGTATGGAGTACGGCCAAATCCTTTAGTGTACATTGCAGGCACTTGTTAAAACTTGACCTTGGAGGGGAAGAAAAAAACTTCCTACTTTTATTCAGTCAGTCATGAGTTGCAAAAAGTACTCATCCAAAGCCAACTTCAAGACATCCAGAGTTTGGGGATCTTGTCCTCATCACTGACCTTAGGGCGTTCGTTCCCAGGATAGAGATGAAGGCTGTGTTCTCACCTTGATGAGAAAATTAGCTCTGGTTTTCTATTACCGCTATGAAACATCCCTTTTCATTTGTTTAATTCCCTGAGAATTGACACCATCCATTAATTCATTGAGCAATTGCTTTGTGTAAAGGCCCAGAGATGAACGAGACAGTCATTGCCATCAAGGAACTTACATTTTAGTCAAGGATACAGAAAACCAACTACAGTAGAAGGCAGAATGAAGTACAGGCTATAACAGAGATGTGAACAAATTGCTGTGGAAGCATAGGTAACACAATTCATTTTAATGAGTGAAGGAAAATTAAGAAAGGGTTCAAAAGGCAGCATTTGGCCCTGAAGGATTAATAGGAGAAAAAGCGTGAGGCTGGGCTTAAAGCCATACTGGGCAGAGTAAACTGCAGGTGCATATAAAGGCATGAAAGCACACGCACATTTGAGCGTGTCATACGATTGTGTATCACTGACATGGTCCCATAAATCTAGTGCAGCAAGGCTGAAGAGATGGATTAAAGAGGTTTGAAGGTTACCTTGTGGTCTGCTCCTGGGACCTTTGAAAGCCACACTAGTTTGGTTAATTAAGAGGAACAATCAAATGCTTTTGGAGAGAATCAAGAAAGGCAATTTAGGATGTTACCTCAAACAGTGTGAAGGACAGTTGAAGAGGTAAAAGACTGAACCAGGCAGACCAACGTCCATGCCTGACTGGCTATTAGGGGACAGGGAATAATACACGACACTTCAGCAGTTTCTAGACTGATAAATTAGGAAAGGGATAGTGCTAGTGATGAGTCATGCAACCGGATAGAAAAACAAATTAGCTAGAGAAGAACATTTGAATGGAAATATACCGAGTTTAAGGTGTGGGCTAACCTTTTCAGTGGGAGGGTGGTTCTGGGGTGCAGAACAGACTACAGGGTCATCTGCTTGAATGAAGCTGTTAAAACCACGGCACCGGAGATTGGAAGAATACAAGTGAAGACAATTAGGGATAATTCTATACTTAGGGGTCATGTGTGGACAGTCTTTAATAAAGCGGGCTGAGGAGTTTTCTGAGAGATAAGGGAAGAAGACACGGCTGAGTATATTTAGAAGCTACCAGAGAAAGTAAGCAGGGTGAGGATTTACAGGCACTCACATGCTTCGGTACTGAGGTAGTCACTGGTAAACTTGAAGGAAAGAGTCACAGAAATGTGGTTGTTTAATAGAACAGTGGAAACTTGAGGAAGTTTGTAGACTGAAAGGAAATGAAATGATAGAATAATGAATGTGGAAAGTGAAAGCCCTTTTCAAAAGTACAAAGCACTCTACAATATAAGGTCACAGCAAGTCAGCTTTCTATCACGGATGCTCTGGAGCCAAAATGTCACTGACATCAGGGACACACTTTCATTTTTATCTGCTGGGGCACTCAGTACATGACCCCTTTTATTTCCTCTTCGCTCCTCTCCCCAGCACCACCACAGGCTCCAGCAGTTGTTCAGGCAGGTAAAGCTCTTCATTACTTGATTTTTGTCAAAAACTCTTCGCGACCGTGCTCCTGTATGCCGCAGGTTTCCAAAGCCTGCTGAAAAATAAAGTTCATAGTGTTTGAGTACTTTCAATTTAATTCTCATTTTTAAATTGGAGGTTTTGTAGGAAAATGGAAGGAAAGTGACACAAGGTACTCGCCGAAGGAGGGAAGTAAAACAGAATGATAAACCAGTTCCCATTCCAAAACAATATTAGCAAATTAAAGCTATTCAGTGTCATGTGATCCCTCCGCAGACTAGGGAGAGAAGCCTTATGGTTCCTTGAGTGCAAAGCTATTTAGCATAAAGAGACAGGCAGTGTTTGGAAGTCTGAAAGATTACTGAGAAATACTAAAATGGGAGCATTTGCTGCTCCTTTAGAAAATAATTTTTCAAGAACCTCTTAAATGTACAGTTTAAAATATTAACCAGATACTTAAGAAGCTCAGCTATGAACTAATTAAAGATTTTCTCATAAATTACACTTCATCTAAGTGCCTTTCTTTCCTACCAGTGTGAAACCAAGACTGAGTCAAGACATTTTAGTGTCCACTCAGTCTGTCATTTTCTCTTGCTTTGAACAGTTATTCAAAATGTTGGTTTTCAGTATCATTAAAAACAAAGGAAAAGAGAGTTAAGGAAATAGAGAAGGACAAAAAATAAAAGAAAGCAACTTAGACAACTTACTCTTGTCTTATTAGAATATTTACTATAATATCACTGAGTAAGTTCTAGTGTAGAAACTCTGTTCTCCTGTCTGCTCTATATCTCTATGATTTGCTATTTCTTGTATATAAGGCTTTTACAAGCCTTTCAACAAAATAAATAGGATCATACCATGCATCAGAACTGTGGCTGCATATAACCATGGATATGTAAGCACTGAAAAGTTCTTCTTATGTTCAATGTTTCTGTTGAAGGTAGCTCCTCAGTCACTCAGGTCTGAAAACTTGATGTCAGATTTGACTCCTCCATTTCCTCTTGCCCTCAACACGAGGCTGTCAGTTCTTTAGATGCCACTAGCATTTATTCCACCGTTGCTATTGTAACATGGGCCTTCCTTCCTCAAAAATACTGTTCCATAGACTTCAACAAAGTTAGTCTTCTGGGGCTTCTTCCTTCTCTGTCCTATACAGAGCTTCTAGCATTACCTCCCTTAAGTACTAGCATTTATTTGCACAAAACCCTTCAGCATCTCCCTATTACTTATGGAATCATATCCAAACCACACAACCACTGCTGTTTCTCATAGACCTAACGCTATAGTTACACTGAATTGTTCAATACTCCCTACATACGCACCAAGTGCTCCCAAAGTTGTACCTCTGCTCATCCTTTCCCTCCCTGCCCTTCAAAATGACACAAGGTCCAGAAGAACACAGACCACATTTATCTGGCTCATTTTTATATTCTCAGAGCCTAGCATTGTACATGGCACGCAGTAGTTACACAGTAAGTACTGACTGAGTGAATAAAGTCATAACATATCCAAATCTACTTACCTTTAATATTTCAGTTAAAACGCCCTTCTCTGTATTAGTCAGCCTTTCAACCCTGAGACACAATACTTGACACCCACAACTTAAAGGCAGAAAGGTTTAATTGACTCATGTTAGTCTTTGAGTAGCTGGCTCCAAGGCAGAAGCATCATGGGGAAAGGATATGGAGAAGTAAAGCTGCTCGGTTCATGCCAGCTGGGAAGCAGAGCAGGGGAAGTGTCAGAGAAGGACGAGTAAGGGACTATATCTGGTATTCAAGGTCATGGCGCTGCGACCCACTCAGACACACCCAGGAACATGCTTCACTGGTCTGCTAGGTGTTCCTCAATCCAATGGCAGTGACATATCAGGATTCACAGCCATGCCTTCCAAAAGTCTGCACTGGTACCTGCATCCTGCCCCACCTATATCAAAGTGATGATTTGGCTTTTCAGAACTCTTACAGCCTTATCTGACACTGACCAGTTTCTTTCTAGCTCAGATTACAACTCTGTACACATCTATGACTAGCCTGAGGTCTTACAGGCAGGAGCTATGGCTCATTAAATTTTGGGTCCTAAAAGGGCAGTTTCTATTAAGTGAGTACTCAGTGGCTAGTATAGTTACACTGGGGGTTGGGAATGGGGAGGCCTTAGTAAAGTTGAAAGGATGAGGGTTCCATATTTATTATGTCTAAAAATGTGATGATAGTTTTTATGCTTGCTCATCAAAACCAAAAGGTGAAAAGCTTGACTCAACTCAGTACACCAACATATAGGTGAAAATACTATATGAATGTACATTAGCCAAAATATAAAATCAGTGCAGTTAAAGACTGAACTAATTTGGATAATTTCTGAGAACAAGATACAAAGTTATTATTTGCATAATTCATGTATTTACAACTCCTTTTTCCTACACTAACTATAATAATATTTTGTTTGTGGATATTGGGGCACTAGATATTTAGATATATTAAGACTGTAAATGAGATTTTTGGTTGTTACTTCTTTACATTGTAATTCAAAGCTCTATCTCTATCTATCTATCTATCTATCTATCTATCTACCTATCTATCTACCTATCTAAATTTCCAGATTTCCATTTTCCTTCAAATTCTTGTCATCAACCTCATATCTTGTTAGTTGGGGATACTACACTTTTTCAGACACCTACTAAGGAATTTGCATATTTGAGTAAAGGGTGCTTGTGCTGGGGGTAAAGCAGAAAAGCAATGTATTTGATTACTGGTGTAAACCACTCCAAAGAAGACAGTAGGTTTGACAGGTTTTGGATCACATCTTTTACAGACCTTGTTATTACACTGCCCAGCCCTTCATATTCAAGTGAGCCCACACATGATGAGATATTATTTTGAAAGCTCTCAAGAGCAAAATGACGTTCAATCCTTTTTTACTTACTCCAGATGTTTACACCTCTGAGCATTGGAAACACATTTCTTTGGTCTTATACTCAAGGGGAAAAATCCTTTTCTGTAGAAACAGTTTCTCTGGAGAATGTAAATCACCCTCTGACTTTTCTAGACTTTTTAGTCGTACAAATGTCTCTCTACTACTCTGACAAACAGTGCTAAAAAATACCAAAGAAAACCTTAAGATTCCCACAAGAATGGCAGTCTTCAAATATGACCCCATGATCTCCACCTGCACTTCTGTTTAGTTGAAGATTCTATTCTCTACTTGTCTTGATACTTCAATTTGTGCCTTTCATTCATCCTTAAACTGAATTATCATAGGCAGCACAACAGTTAATGTATATCTTAACTTTATTGAATAAGTAAGTAGGCATTACATACAGGTTGCAAGTCATTCTTGGTCCTGCTTAGAGACAGGTGTTTATTCCCAGGCAAAAGGAGAACATAAATCTAAATTTTTACTGCTTCTGAAATACTTCTGCAAGGTGGCTTTGTATGGACACAATCTCCCTCAATACCCATTCAATGAAGTCTTTGCTTGCACTTCTCCCTTCATCTGAGGGATTCACAATATCTAAATAAGCTTGTAAAGAACTTTCTGTATCAGAGGTAGTTTTGTGCCTGCATTATAAATCACAGAAGACATTTGGTCAGATACACCATAGAAAGGGCAGAAAAGATACACCAGAGCACAGAGTTGATATCACTGATGTTTTTTCAGCTAACTCACCATAGTGGCAAAAGTATCAACCAAAATTTAGAATAGTTTTTAATCCACTTAAAACAAAGCATGCAGTAACCTGTGTAGATAACAACCTTAGAGACAATCTTAAGTTTGGCTTGAGCACCAAGGATGCATTTTAAAAAGTGTTAAGTACATTTACATGATATAACTAGTGTAGTGGCTGGAGACCCACCCAAAAAGGATATGCTCATGTCCTAATCCACAGAATTTGTGAAATTATTTTATTTGGATAAAGGGGTCTTTGAAGATGTAATTAAATTAAGGATCATCAGATGAGATTTTCACAGATGATCTGGGCAGGCCATCTGGGTAAGCCCTAAATGGCATCATGAGTGTCCTTGTATGACAGAGGTGGAGGTCAATTAGATACACAGAAGAGAATATGACATGAAGACGGAGCAAAGAGGTACTGTCACAAATCAAGGAACAATGATAGCCACAGAAAAAGAAGATGGAATGTATGGATTTTTCTCCTAGAGCATTCAGAAACATAGCCATGCCAAAATCTCAATTTTGGACTTCGGGAATCCAAAACAGTAAGAGAATGAATATCTGTTTTTTTAAACCACCCTGTGTCGAGTAATTTGTTAGAGTAATGACAGGAACCTAATATAGATTTTGGTACTGGGAAATGGGATATTGCTGTAACGAATACCTAAAATGAGAAAGTAGCAATGGACTTGGATAATGGATGGAGGCTGGAAGAATTTTGATGCACTCAACAGAAAAAGTATACATTTCCTCAACAAGACTTTTGATAGAAATATGAATGTAAAGACATTTCTGATGAGGGCTTGGAAGGAAATACAGAACATTTTATTGGAAACTGCAAGAAAGGCAGTCTTTGTTATTCAGTGGCAGACAGCTTATCTGAATTGACCCCTACAGTTGTGTGTAAAGCAGAACTTATAAATGAGGAACTTGAATATTTAACTGAGGAGATTTGCAAGCAAAGTGTTGGAGGAATGGCCTAGTTACTTCTTGCTGTCTATAGTAAAATAGAGAGGAAAGAGATAAACTGAAGAATGAATTAAGAAGTAAAAAAAGAATGAGCTCTTGATGATTTGGGAAATTCTGAGTCTATCCAGATTGTAACAGATAGTAAGGTAAGGATATTCACTGTTAGGAAAGTGCCCTGGAGATAAGGCCTACCCTGTGACTGGACAATGTTTGGCTAGTGCTGAAGAGAGTAGGCATTGACTTATGGATTCACATCACCATCTCAGCAGAAACCAGGAACAGAGATGAGCTTATCCAGGACAGATGTGTAAGGGTCTTCTTTCCTGAATGTGTGAAATCAACATGACATATGTGGGAGCCTCGCGAGGTTTCTGAGAATGTTACACGAGCAGAAACACTTCCAGTGTGTCCTGAAAAGGATAGAAACCAGACAAAATGAAAGAAGGTCAGAGTACCACAATTCTACAGGCAGAAAAGAGACTAATGCAACCACTCAGCTGCAATTAATAAAGGAAGGATCACTCCAAGGCCAGAGGTGTAGGTACAAAGACAGAGACCTAAGCATGGGAGCAGAGGTGGAAGTATGAGGCATGGGTACAGAGCCAGAGGGCCAATCCGCGATCCAAGAAAAAAGAACCATTCAGATCCAGAAAATGGAGCCCTGAGACACAGCAGGCTATTGCCAGGCCTTGAAACCTAAGAAGCATTTGTTTGGCTGTTTCTTGAAAATGAGTGGGACAAGTGATCTTTCTGCTTTCCACTCTCTCACTTTTGGAACAGGAATGTCTATAATTATTATCCCGTGCCCATTTCACTAGTGTTTGCAAGAAAACAATTTGTTTTATTATACTTGTTCACATAGGGAAAGGGTATTGCCCTAGGATGGTTCATAGCCAGAGTTTTACACATACTTTATTTAGATGTTGGGATCTGAGAGTTTCAAAGTGATTTTTGGACAAAATTTTAGATTTAAGTGTTTATGTGGCAGACGTGGTAGCCATGCCTCTAATTCCAGTACTCGAGAGGCTGAGGCAGGAGGATCATTGCGAGTTTGAGGCCAGCCTGGACTACATAGCAAGAACCTATCTCAAAACAAAACAAAACAAAACAAAAAAGAACTGACATTGTAGTATGTTGAAATTTGGGAATATTGAGATGGGGTGAATGTATTTCACACATGGGAGAGACCAAAATTGGGGGTAGGGCCAGAGGTATGTCAACATCATAATCCCTGGAACCTGGAACTATTACTGCATGTGTAAGAGTCTTACAGAACTAATGAAATTAAAGCTCTTGAGATGAGATTAATTGGGTGGTCCCTCGATCTCAGCATAAGTATTCAGATTAGGTACTCAGAGCAGGTGATGTGAAGATGAGCAGACAGAAATGTGGCCAGAAGCCAAGGAATGACAATAGCCACCAGAAGCTAGAAGAGGCAGGAAATGATTTTTCACCAGAGATTCTGCAGGGAGTATGGCCCTGCCTGCTGCCACCTACATTTCATGCTTCTGGCCTCCAAAACTGTGAGAGACTTTCAGTTGCGGTGAACCACCAAACTTGAGGTCATTAGAGCAGCCAAATGAAATCAGTATAACTAGTTAATGTTTTAAAAGCTTTGTATTTTTTTTTACATTTCAAAGAAAATCTGAAAAATGGTACTGCTCATATACAGCAGTAATAAAAGAGTTTAACATAATTTGGTTCTATACTAAAAATGTCACTATGTACTCCTCTTGGTCATGTGTTTCAATCCAAAACAAAACTGCCAAGTAGCTAGAACAGCACCATTACAAATCCGATAAGCAAATCCTTTAACTTAATTATTGGATTCTGTAAGGCTTTTCAATATGTGTGAAAATAGTGAGATTGTTTTAAACACAAATATGCAACTTATTAATAATAGTTCATTCATTCTTGTTCACAAACTAGAAAACAACGCAAGTTCACATCTGGAAAAGGTGATTCACATCAGCTTTTCTACCTTGACCAGCTTAATAATATGGCATGGAAAATGCCCCAAATTTCAGTGAGGATTTGCTTTCTTTTTCTTTTTTTTTGATTTCTTTCCGGTACCGGGAATGGAACTCACAACCTCGCACTTGCCAGGCAGGCGCTGTGCTGCTAAGCTAAATCCCCAGTCCCCGAGGATTTACATTTTAAAACCATTTTCCTACAGCCTGAAAAGGTATCAAAAAGAAGACATATCATGAAGATTTTAGAAAAGACTATAACGTCAAAACATACACATTAGTTATTTACACAAATTAGTAGGACCTACATTTTTGTTATTCTTGCTAAAAAATAGTATGTGAAATGGATATGTTCTTAAATATGTTTGTGTGTGCGTGTACATGTTTTAAGATAGGAAAAATAGGAAATCTCAAATGTTGTCACTTTTTATTTTCTCTATTGTAGCATCCTCAGAAAAGTTTGAAATATAATACTCAAGTAAGAATTCACTGGAATAAAGGCAGCAGTTTAAATTAGTGCACATGTACCTAAAGGAATCTGTGAGCTATTGGTCACTTGTTCACATTATCCCATAATGACTTACCAAGCCAGTCCTGCGTGTCTTTGCTCTGAATGCTTATAACATGCTTTGGAGGAGTGGAAATAGGATTTTCTACCTAAGGAATATACATATAAGAAATATTTTATAGTAATCACTATCATCTGCATGAATTAGTCTTGAAATTGCACTCCAGAGAAGTTATACCAATTATTTCAATGCATATTTTAAAGTAATAGGCAAGTTAAGTATAACTTTTATGCTCTCATCTATTTAAGACAAAATATAGAGCTTATTTTTCTTCCTAGAGTTGTTTGGTTAGCATCATTTGAATGTGTGAATGGATAAGTAAGCGTGATGATGACTGAGAAGCTCACTTAGTTGCCGGGATCTGTATATGATTTCATTTTCTCCTTCGGACCACCAAACTGGGATTGGAGAAGGGAACAGAAAGGGACAGGAAAAAATAATTGACCTTTTCAACAGTTTTCTGCTTCTTCCTACAGACAAAATATTTTTCAGGTCTTCTGGAACTCTATTCCCTGCCTTCAAGAGGGTCAAGGAAGAAAGAAGCAATAGAGAGAAGAAATAAATCACAGAATAAGAAACAGTATTTGCCTTTGAAAGAGATGTAAAGAGAATAGAGTGTTGAGGTTCATTCCTAGCATAAGCTTTAAAATGTGGGGATTTTCTCAAAAATAGCCATATAAAGTATTTATATAAAGTAGATATCTATGCATAATTAGAAAATATCTCTTTAAATAAAGTTTAAGTCATTTTCCCTAACTGATTCTGTTAAACTTTGGTTTATTTTTAGCAGTGAGAAGTGTCTGCAATATCACGCTGAAATGCTAGACTAATGATAAGTGTAACATCAGCCAAAGCAGATGAATCTATCAGCTTTCACTTGAGATAAAATTCTATATACCCGGACTGGGGTGGAACAGTACTTTTGAAAATTTCCAAAATGGTTTCTCTTACAATGTGAGGAATATTAGCACAGTCCCAAATCATTGACAAGAACATTTCTCTTCGATTTTTCTTTTTATATATAATAAACTTTGGAAGCAGACGTGAATAATTCTTTCTGTCTGTTCTTTTATCTTCTTTATTTTGGTGGGAGTGACCTAGAAATTTAAGATGTTAAGTTTTCACAGACAATATGTTTGAAAGCCTTAGGAATCACTCAGCTTCTTACACTTGCATTTTAAGAATCAGGTCACACACAACAATAAATAATACACTTCTTTAAATTAAGTGGAACAAACATTTTATAATCTCAACAACCATGTTCAGATTAGTATAATCGTGGGAGGAATCTTGCAACAGTTGTACAAATGCACATTACTTCATCCAGTTTAGCTTGACCTTTGCAGAGATACACTTATTTCCATCCCTTGAGTGCCTGTTTTGTTCTTCTGAAAATGTACGATTTTGTTTAAATGTTTTCATATTCTTTGGCATTAGGAATCACTTAGATGAGATAGCTTCATTGTGGCGTGAGCGTGACCTTTCCAAAGGTACTCGCCTGTTATCTGTAAGACAAAGAGAAAAAGAACCAAAAACATGATGAGCCTTAGATCTTGGCAATTACATGATGTCAGGTCTAGAGAGGTTCCCAAACAGTCCTAAAAATCACTTCAAATGAATATGTAAATAAGCAGCAAGGAGCCCGGATCTGAGGATTTCACACTGCAGCTGCCAGGCTGAGTTCAAGAGTTCTGCAATCAGCAATAAATGACTTTTCTTGGTAAGCAAAGTTACAGTTAGAAAAGAAATGGAAGAATTCTCTCCAGCACAGTCCCCTTGGAAATAGCAGGTGACAACGAATTTCCTTGGTAAAGATATAAAATTGAAAGGATCTACGTACAGTGCCTCTTGTTGGAAAGCACTTCAATTTCCTATGAGTTTTTAATTTGTATGTAAGCTACCTCTAGAGGACACCAGCGTGGGCAAAGCAGTAGAGTTTTTATTTTTTACAGTGATTACAATATGTGGCACTCAAACCAGCTACTGAGTCTACCTGATTGTATGATATAAACAAATTCAATACATTACATGTTCATAATGGGAGTGAATAATGAATGGGTCCTATTGTGGGTCCCATTCCCCCCACCCATCACAGGAAGAATAATCACTGTGGAGATAACTGTTGGAACAAAGCTTGGAAAGTAAAGTTAAAAAGCATTGAAAGTTGCTGAAAATAGTTTTAGCTTTAAGAGGAAAAAGGTTTACAGCTCTGCACTGTGATGATCACTACTATGTCATTATCACCTCTGTTTTATGCTCAGCTTAAATGCAATTGATATGGGTGAAAATTCCTTTTTGACAAAAACATAATATACTTAGATTCTCCATTTGGAATAAGACTAGGTCCCTAGAAATAATGACAACCAGCAGCACTAACATAAATGCGAACACTTTACACTCGTTAATTTGCTAATTCACACAACATCCCCGGGAGGTAAATCCATTTCATTCTATCTTATTATCTCTGCTTTAGTGATGAAGGTTACACAGCAAATCAATGGCATGATGGGGAATTGCAATGCAAAGTTAATGCCTAAATGTCAGGACTGCTTTGTACAGAGCTTGATGTTGGGGCTTCCCAAATTGCTACTGATTTTCTCCCTAACATCACAAGGCTCAACTAATACATCCAGCCTCTTACATGAGAATGATGGCGAGAAGTAGACGGGTTTTGCCATGGTGTTTTCCTAGTCTGCTAGAATTTTAGGACTAATTCCTAGAAGTCTTTGGTCAATACACAAAGCCAAACTCACTGGCTCCTATGACTTTGGCCTGACTAACATCACCTTATGGGTGCACTTAGCAACCAGTTATAAGATTACAGCATACCCAGAACTTCATAATGCAATAATACTGAGAGGTAAGAAAGCAAGAAGCATTTTCTCTACTTGGCGATATATCTGGATGATGGATTATTTGGGTATCCCTTTGAAGATACTGTTAAAAAATCCATTATTTACCTTGTGATATGGATCATAATTCAGCTAAAAATGTGAACATAACACTCCCAGATCAGGGGCTTATTACTTAGATGTCTCTGATTTTTGTACAGATTGGCTTGGGACTTCTTAGAAAACATTTTTAAGTGAAATTACAATATTATGATTTTTGTTGCATTATTAGCATTTCAACAGTCAGCGTTAAATGTTATCCGATATGAGAATGATAGTAGCATTCCTATAGGATTGTACTAGCTTGAAAAAATGCTCGTGCCTGGATAGTCCTACACACAAAAGTCAACAGGCATCTATGCTTCACTCCAGGAATGCCACTGCCACCTCACACCATCACTTACTATCCACTGAATCCAGGACTACCTCTGCAAACCCGGCCTCACAGCACTAAATGATGGGATGGGAGGAATCACATCAACTTGCAACTTATGTTAGGTGTCAGAAAAAAAAAAAACTTTCAAGACAAAGCAAACTGAGGAAAGGACATTGAGCTTTTAAAAGGCACAATAAACACTGGATCAAGACACCAATCTGACTTCTTGTCTACACAAAATAAGATTATTTTAGATTTTTCTCCCTCCCTTCCCTTTTTCCTCTCTTCCGTTCTCTCTCTTTTTGGGTGCCTAATTCATCCCTAAATTAATGAGATAATTATATGAAGTAATTCAATGAAGGTTATCACTTACATTTTCAAAATGTCAACCCACACCATGTTTATGAAAAAGAAAATGCCATTAGAAACTGTGGCAGCAAAAGAAAAAGAAAAAACAAAAGAAACACTGGCAGCAAGTGCTGGTCTTGAGCACTTGATTTATTTTATTTTATTTT